ATTGTGCCTGACAAGAGTATCTTTATGTGGTAGGGACCTTGGATGGTAGTGAATCTACCAATGTGATTTAGGAGAGAGGCTGGTCACACCCACATAGTCTCAGGGTGGGGAGCTGGCCATTCCAGAAAAACCAACAATACAATTTGGGGTGGGGGCTTTGGGTCAGGCAGTATCAGTTGACCTGAAGGCTGATATTATTAACCACATGGGCAATCAATCAATAAATTACATCTATGAGAGGGAGCCCTCATCAAAATTCTGGACACAAAAGCTCAGGTGAACTTTGCTGGTTGGCAATATTCCATTTATCTTATCACACATCAATGCCAGGGCAGTAACATGCCCTGACTCCATGGGAGAGGACAACCGAAGTTCTGCATTTGGCTGTTTCTCCTGGATGCTGCTCTATGCACTTCTACTCTTGGATGATTTAATTCTTTATCTTTTTCCTGTAACAAACCATCGCTGTGTAATATTTTCCCTGAGTCTTTCCACTGAATTATTGAATGTGGTGTTGGTTTTGTGAGTCCCTCAAACTGTAGTTGGTGCTGGCAGTGAGGATGACCTGTCCTCTTTAACTTTGTAGCAGGCTGTTCACTTCTCAAAGATATTGATGCCTGGCTCTCACCCCCAGGCAACATGCTGGTTTGTAACTGGTATGGAGTATGGCTTGGGCAGCAGGAGTTTTAAAAGCTTCCTGGGTGATCTGCAGATAAATTTGGGACCCACTGATTAGCACAATCAAATGGAACACCACTGATCAAAACAATCCAAATGTTACATAATTTGATGAATAGTGATTAACGATAAAATTTGAAATGGTCACTTTCTCTAACTCCCAGTATTCTTTACATTTGGGGACCATAACAAGAGGGGCTTTTTTCCCCTGTAAAACTAGAGAAAGGGGACCTGGAGAAAAAGACCAGGAAAGGAGAACCATATGATGCTTCTACCACAGATGTGAACTAGCAGATGAATTTTAGACTAGGGACTGTACAGCTGGAATCTGACTCCCTTAAAACTATCTGGCTCATGTATCCCTTGGAAAGTCTTTGTGTTCCCATTTCAAGACCATCACAGACCACAAGCTCTGGAGTCTGACCAGTTGGAGCTGTATGCCATGTTCTGCCAAGCCCAGGCTCTGTGACCATAGCAAGTCATCTCTCCTTTCTGAATCTCGTCCTGTTGAGCTCTAATGATCTGAGGGCTTAAAATATACCTTACCACAGGATCAGGCTTCAAAAGAGGTGCTCACACTCTAAGCCACGTGTTGTGTGCCTGACATATAATAATTGCCTTTGCAAGAACCTTATCTTGTAAAGAAGGGAAAAGGAGGTATGAGGTGACTCACCCAAGGCCACAAAGCTGCAGAGCTAAATAAGATTCCACCTGCTGTCTTCCAATCCAGACCCCTCTGGGGATGAGATGTTCAGGTTGTGTACTCTGCTAAATTCTAGAACTGTGGTCATGGTTAAGTCACTTCACCTTCCTGAATTTCGGTTTATCTGTAAGGGGTTGTTAGGAGGCCTAAATTAAGTCACTCATGCAAAGGACATGGCTTATGCGGTCAGTGCTTAGCAAGGGATTGTTTTTATCATTGCACTTACCACTCTGAGACACAAATCTCAATCTTGCCACTATCCAGCAGTTCTGGCCACAAACCCTCTTCCTCCAGGTCCAAGAACTCCTTCTTGAGACACCACCTAGGAAGGTGGGAGAAGGGGTAATGAGTACTGACAGGTCTTTCTTAACCACCGTCCAGCCCTAGGGAGCAGGGGTACTCGCCTGAAAGAAGTTCCGAAAGATTGTGAAGGGGCCCCGGGCACTGCTGGTCCGTTTTCTTCTACCAACCAGCCGTTCCCACCTTGCCGCACCATCCACTTCCGGAGGCCTTGGGTTAAATAAAAAAGACTTGCAGACAAGTTCCAGTCGCCCGCCCAAGCTCAGTGAGACCCCGCCTACGGGCTGCCGTGAGGCCCCGCCCCAACCCCGCCCACTGGCTACCCGCACGGCCCTTCTCCAAGTCCTCCCACCAGCTCCCTCAGCAGGTCCCGAGCCTTCTACCCCTTTTCGTGCTCCCCACCCTGGCCTCCGCGGTTCCAGATGAGGTTGCGTCCGATGGGCCTCCGCAAGCAGAAGCGGCCCAAGGGACAGAGCCTGCCGTTGCGGGCGGGGGGCAGACAGCTGCGGACTAGCGGTAGCAGGGCGCGGCCAGTGGCCCCGTGGTCGCGGGCCAGGATCAGAAACCACAGGGCCTGCCCGTCCACCAGGGCGCGCCAGCCCCGGCACACATGGCGGCAGCTCCTGAGCAGCGTGCGTGGGGGCACGTAGCTCAGCACCACCAGGAGCAGCTCCGGTGGTAGTTGATTCAGGCCCAGAGCCGCCTCCTCAGGTTCTGGCTCCGGCGCGGGGATCCGGGCAACCTGGCCCCTGGAGGCTGAGGCGCCCATGGTCCCCCCGCCAGGCCGGGCTGCGGGAGAGGAAGGGTCGAGGCGTCAGGGACCAGCAGCCTCCGCGGCGAGCAGCCTCCGCCAGCCCCGCCCCTGCCGGCTGCACCCCACGACTTTGCGGGGCTTCAAACCCTACCAGCCTCTTCTCTATCCTCACCACCGCCAGGCCCCGCCCCCAAGTCCTCATCCCCCAATCGGTCCTCGCCAGCATCGTCATTCCCACCTCCTCACGCTCGCCACGACCCAGCCAGCAAGCGCCCCTCAGATTTCTCCTTGTCCCCTGAGTCTTACATCAGTTCCTGCCAGAGCCCCTTGCGGGCCGGCCTTCGCTGCGTTACACGCTCGCTCCCCCACCGCGCTTTTTTTCCAGAGCCATTCCTCCTCCCCACCCCCGTAGCCAGCATGCCCTACCCCACACCCTCCCTCTTACTCCCGACTGCGCCCGCCTCCAGCCACCTTCAGACCCAACCTACTACCCTGAGACTGGGGGACTAGGGGGCCATGGGCAACCGGTCCTTAAAATGTTCCTAACAGCCGTTGTCATTTTGCCTAGGCTTCTGGGCAGGAGGATTCCTATCCCCTAACTCGTTTACCTTTAATGCGCAGCATGCTTGTCTGCATTTCACAGGAGAAAGCAGGCTCCGGTAGCCAACAATGAGTGCTCTAACCAGTTATAGCACCAGCCACCTATATGGACGGTCCTTCTACCAGCCAGGGTAGCAACCCCAGGAAGTAGGCACTGTTCTCTTGACTTCATAGGTGAGAAAACTGAGGCAGTGGCCAAGTGACTTGACCATAGTCACCAGCTAGTAGATGATAGAACAGGGATTTGAAACCCAGTCCTTCTGGCTTCAGAATTCCTGATTTTAACCTCTAGATCAGCTCTGTCCAATAAAGATACAATTGTGAAAGTTGATCGTACAAATAAAGTTGAGAGTTCAGGGGGAAAAAGCAGTCAGGACACATAATACATCTCTAAGAATGTAATTCTCTGATGTAACCTGAAGCCATCTTTATTTTAGTTTATTTTTTTAGAGACAGAGTCTCACTTTGTTGTTGGTACAGTGTGTGGCGTCACAGCTCACAGCAACCTCCAGCTCTTGGGCTTAGGCAATTCTCTTGCCTCAGCCTCCCAAATAGCTGGGACTACAGCTGCCTGCCACAACGCCTGGCTATTTTTTTGTGCAGTTTGGCTGGGGCCGGGTTCGAACCCGCCACCCTCAGTATATGAAGCTGGTGCCCTACTCACTGAGGCACAGGCGCCGCCCCTGAAAACATCTTTAACTGCTGCTGCAACAACCTGCTTCTATGTAGTCTAAGACTAATTTTACCCACTGTCATCACTTACCAATCAGAACTTGCCAACTTGCCCAAACTTTACTGGTGCCAATGAAATTCCTTGCAAGACAATACTTAACATTTCTCTTTTTATTTTGAGATAAAGTCTCAGTTGCCCTGGGGTTGAGTACCATGGCATTACAGCTCACAGCAACCTAAACTCTTGGGCTCAAGCGATTTTGTTGCCTCAGCCTCCTAAGTAGCTGGGACTACAGTAGACCACCACAGTGCCTGGCTATTTTTTTTTAGAGACAGGGTCTCACTCTTCCTCAGGCTGGTCTTGAACTCTGGTAGAGCTCAGGCAATCCACCTGCCTCAGCCTCCCAGAGTGCTAGGATTACAGGCATCAGTCACCATGCCCAGCAACATTTCTCTTTTTTTTTTGAGACAGAGTCCCACTTTGTGGCCCTTGATAGAGTGCTATGGCATCATGGCTCGCAGCAACCTCAAACTCTTGGGTTCAAGTGATTCTCTTGCCCCAGCCTCCCAAGTAGCTGGGACTATAGGCACTGGCCACAATGCCTGGCTATTTTAGAGATGAGGTCTTGCTCTGGCTCAGGCTGGTCTCCGACCTGTGAGCTGGTCTCCAACATGTGAGCTCAAACAGTCCACCTGCCTCAGCCTCCCAGAGTGCTAGGATTATAGGCGTGAACCACTGCACCCAGCAACATTTCTCATGTATATAAAAACCTGTAACCTCTTTGCTCTTCGAACATACCGAAGACCACCAGTTCTGTGTATATGCCCTGAACCACAATTCTTGCTTCTCAAATAAAATGTTTTAAATTTAGAGATTTGTTTCTGTATCTCTATATTTTATTTGAGTTTAACATGATGCAAGCCATACATATAATCTTAAATACCAAGAAATAAAACCAGACATGGATTCTTTTTTTTTTT